TCCTTCCTTCCTTCCTTCCTTCCTTCCTTCCTTCCTTCCTTCCTTCCCTTATTCTTTGAAACAAAGGCAGTGTTGGGAGCTGCTTCGCTCATGTGTTTAAAACCCTTTAAAGAGTGGTCTGTACCACACTGGAAAACATTATGACAGCCATTCCAGCATCCTTCTCAGCCAGCAGAGAAACGTATATGCTAACCAGGGAAGTCAACAAATATTACATAAACAAGCAACAAAAATCCATTTCCCTTTGCTATATGTCTTCAGATTTTTTATAGTGTTAAAAAATTGAATATCTAACATTTTATAGATTCTCATTCAATTCATGTTGTTCATATATGAACACTTTCCTTCTGAGTCAACTGCATGCAGGAACCTTTTTATTGGTAGAACCTTTCATTTAAAGAAGCTTGGTCACTTTAAGATGTTCATCCACTAAAATAAGCAGAAACCAATACTATTATCATAAACAAGTCTGCTGATTATATTTTTTAGATCATAATCAATTTAAACAATTGTGTTATCTATCATGTTGCAGTAAGTAGGTGTACTGTATCTGGCCTGCAAACACCTGGAAGAATTGGTCTTCAAATGGTCTTCTGGATTTTTACAACCTGGATACAAGAGCTGCAATTTAGTCCTTCTTTCTTTTATTTTATTTCACAAATAAATCTATGAGTCCCAATCCATAGTGGGACGATGTATACAGGATGTCTTAGACTCTGATTATGGTTGCTGTGGAGGGACATTAACCATGCAACAGAAATCCAAAATCACAACTATTAAAATATAAAGTTTTATAAGAAATGTATATATTTTAACATAGTTTCTTTTGTTAAAACATCAGTGCAACCCTTCCACATGGTTTATTATCATTCTGCATCACACAAAGCTAAATATGGCGTGCAATTGGAATAAATAAAGTCTAGCCTAGGACCTAAATCCCCCACAACATAATCTAATCAATTATATATTGTATGTTTCCAGAAGTAATCAGAGCAAATGGGATTCTCACCTTTGTATGTAGGAGGGTAGCCTCACGTACATTCACTTTATAAGTTTCTATGCCAAGTTCTTTAGCCAGTCGCAAAATCCGATTCTGTGTAGGTCCCACATAGGATCCACCAACATCGACATACTTCACTTGCTGGTTCTGTCAAAACAAGAAAAATCATCAGCAATAATAATAGAGGTTCCAATCACAGGAACAAAAATACTCACATTCATTATAAAAAGATAGCTGAAATTTACATTGGAGTCTTTAAGATGTGGCCTATGTTCTATATCAGAGGTGTCGAACTCAAGGCCCGCAGGCTGGATTCGGCCAGTTTAGATCTGGCCTGTGAGGTTGTCCTGGAAATAACAAAGGACCAGCCCGCAATACCTCTGCTAGCCAAAACGGGGCACAGGGGGCCTCGTGCAGCCTTCCGTGCCATGTTTTGGCTGGTAGTGGTGCAGGAGGCCATCCAGGAAAAAGGGTGTGGGAGGATTGCACCAGCCCCCATCCCACACAGTTTTGCCTGGCAGAGTGCTACAGGAGATTGTCCAGGCCAAAAATGGGGCGGGGGGGGGCATGTGAGCCCCCTCATGCTGTGTTTTGGCTGGCAGAGTGATTTCTTCTTCACTTTATCAGCATCTGCCAACTAGAACTAGGTACCCTCCAAGATCTGGATGGCCCTTCACCCAGGTTTTTAATTAGAGTGAGCGAGTCCCCTCCTATCACTCAGTTTGTCATCTTTTATCTTAATCTTTTACCTGTGATTGATTTAATTGTATTTTTTATTGATTTGAGCCACCCAAGATCATTGGGAATTGGGTGGTATATAAATATTGTAAATTATTACTCATATTAAATCATCCTCTAGGGCTGTGTCAGAGGTAGCAGCAAAGATTGATAGACTGTTGGAGAAACAGTTTTTAGAGACATCTGGAGAAATTGTCAGTTCATTTATGTTCTGCTCCTATAGAAAAGAGTCAAGCCTCATAGCAGCTGGGGATCCTACATGTCTTTAATCTCTATATTATGGAATTGAGACTATTTGTGCAAGAAAGTAGATCTCCCTTTTTCTGGAATAGCTGTTTTGAATGCAAAGGGAAAAGGTGCATCTTGAGCCTGTGTCAAATACCTACCATAGCCATGCCCCCTACCACACACCTCCACACACATACACACACAGCCCTCTGAGGTCAAACACAACCCTGATGTGGCCCTCAATGAAATCAAATTTGACACCCCTGTTCTATATTATTAAAGTAACTTAAACATACAGTTAAATGCCCCTCAGTTCTGCTGTACCACCTCACTGTGATGGGCATGCTCCTTGGAAGGAGTAGTGAAGACAATTGACAATATATTCCAAGTAGGGTCACCCAAGGCATGAAGGACACTCTGCCTGCCTACCAAAGGTAAGTAGGGACCTATATAAGGCAGCAGCAATATAGGAAGATGCTGGAGGCAGTCAATTATGTTAGTGACAGTGGCACCAAATCATACTGTATGGGATAAGATAATGGTAAAACACTCCCATATTTTTACTGAGGAAATCTGTCAGAGTATATTCATGAACTGGAATAGAGCATGGTAATAAGGTCAACCAATGAATATGCATAGCAACTAAGTCAGCCAATGTCTTGCTCGCCTGCTGAACTAAAATGAAACTGATGTCTGTTTCTCTGCTGAAGCTGAGTTGCTGTTCTGCTCTGAACCTGTAACATGTCTGCTTCTGTTTAAATTTGCTCCATGTTGGAGAAATCTACAACTGGTATTGTAAAATTTTCTTTATATGTTTATAAAGAAGTTAAATGAAGCTTCAGTCATCTCTGTTTATTTTTCTGGTGCCGAATTTACGCTGCAATACTCTGAACAGGTTATGGGCCCAGCCAGCACAGAAGCACAGAAAAAGACTGAATTGTAATTAAATTGAGAGACTACCTGTTTTAAAAATAAGAAACAAGGCAAGAGGCTTTGCAGGATGGCTGAAAAAATTAAAGAGAGCTCTCTACCTCTTTTGGGTCAGAAGAACTATATTATTTGGGCTGCAAAAATGGAATGTTTCCTAAAAGCTAAAGAGCTTTGGAATATTGTTGAAAATCCACCCCAGGCACCATTGAATGCTGTAAAGTTAGTTCTTCCTTTTGTTCAATTGTACAGTTTTTTGTTATCACTTTGTTTTTTCTTTATTAATTTTTAACCCTGCCACCTTTCCATATTATTCTATTTCTTTCATCAAGATAGGTGTCGTTTCCAGGGGATCTTCCACTATAAAGGCCATATCGTCAGCAAATGCTTGAAGTTTGTACTCCTGTTTTTTAACTTTTAACCCCCTGATCTCTTGATTTTATCGGATTTGTACCAGTAGTGTCTCTTCTGCTAATATATAAAGGGGTAGCCAAGGGGCATCCTTGTCTTACACCCTTATTTATCCTTATATAATATTTTTTTATAATATTTTAGTGTTTTCCCCATTTATTAATATTTTTGCAGTTTGGGTATTATATATTATTTTAATGAATCCTAAAAAAATATCACCAAATTTCATGCCTGTCAGTTGTTTCATAAGAAAATTCCAATTAAAATTGTTAAATGCCTTCTGAGCATCTAAAAACATCAGTGCCATTGCTTTAGTTGTGTATACTTCATAGAATCCTAAAACATCCATAATTATTCTTGTATTAGTCTTCATTTGTCTATATGGCAGAAACCCATTCTGGTCAGTAATAATAATCCTACATAATATTTTCTTTAATCTTTCTGCCAATTTTGTGGCCAAAATCTTGTAATCTACATTTAAAAGTGATATTGGCCTATAATTTTGAAATTTTTGTGGGTCTGATTGCTCTTTGTGAATAAGGGTTATATATGCTTCAGTCCATGACTTTGGTATATTAGCACTCTCCAAGGCTTCATTATATAGGTCTATCATTAATTCCTCCAATAACTCTTGAAACTCCTTACAGAATTCAAACGGAATTCCATCCGGGCCCAGGGTTTTATTTAGTTTTGGGGCTCCAATTACCTTTCTAATTTCTTCTGTGGATATTTTATTATTTAAAATACATTTCTCTTCATCCATAATTTCCGGTAAAAATTTTTCCTTCAAATATTGATTAATAAGTTCTTCTGGTACTTCTTCTTGATTGTATAGATTTGTAAAAAAGTCCTTGGCAATATCTTTCTTTTCCTTAGCCTGAGTACATACTATCCCTTAGCCTGAGTACATACTATCCCTTCTTGGAGAGCTACAATCGTTCTTTTTCCTTGTTTTTATTTTATTTTATGGGCTAACCATCTCCCTAGCTTATTTGCATTTTCAAAATAATTTTGTTTTACTAATTTAACTTTTCAGGCCAGGTCTTTCTGCATACTTAAATTTATCTTATGTTTTACCAAATCTATTTCTTTACTAGTGTTTTGATTATTTGGATCAGTTTGTCTACTTACTTCTAAATCTTTAAGTTTCTCTCTCCACACATTTTGTTGTTGCATTTTTTCTTTATTCTTTTTAATACTATAGCCAATAGTTAAACCTCTCACGTAAGCTTTTGTTGTATCCCAGAGATTTTGAAGGGACATATGCTCTCTCTTGTTTATTTCAAGAAATATTTTCAATTCTTTTTTCACCATTTCAATATATTCGTTATCTTTTAATATACTATTATTAAATGTCCATCTTCCAATCATTCTCTTTCCTATCCACTTAATTTGAATAGGGTTATGATCAGCCCATACATTTGGCAAAATCTCTATATTTTCAATGTTTTCCATTAAGTCTGGGTCCATCCAAATCTGATCTATTCTAGATCAAGAGTGATGGGGATTGGAAAAGAAAGTATATTGCTTTTTAGTTGGGTATAGTTCTCTTCACATATCCTTCAAATTTAATTCCCTCACCATGTTATTAAAAGAAGATGGGAATTGTCTATTATTATTATTATTATTATTATTATTGAACTTTTATAGTCTTTGTCCTTGTCTGAAACAGCATTTAAATCTCCTACAATTACATACATTTGTATATTCAGTTTCTACTATCTTATGATGGAGTTTATTATAAAATTCTTTTTGATTTACATTCGGGGCATATACTGTAACTAACAAAGTCTTTCTCTGGATTAATATTATTTCTATAAATAACATTCTTCCATCATCATCCTTATATACTTGTTTGTGTTGCAGCCAATCTTTTATATATACTACGATACCCCTTTTTCTTTGATTTGAAAGAGCCCAATACATTTTTCCCAAATTAGTATCCTTTAGGAGGTCTGCCTGTTTATCTATGATGTGTACTTCTTGTATACAAGTTATGTCTGCATTTTGTTTTTTAAGTTTTTCAAATGACTGTTTTCTTTTTAATGTTGGGTTTAAACCATTGATATTAACTGAGAGTAAGGTGATTTCTCTTTTTGTGTTACTGTCTGTGTAGAGCGTTTTTTGTTTCTTTCCTTGTTCTGGGTTCTCTTGTACTTAGGCTGTTGTCCTCATCTTCTCTAAGTTTCTGAGTTTCTGACTGTGGTGCAAGTTCTTTCTCTTTGGAGAGTTGTTCTTCCTGACTTCTTGTATTTAAATCTTCTCCCCTTTCACGTTCTTCCTCAGGTCCCAGATATTGTTCGCGAAATTGATGTGCTTTCTCTATTGTATCAATTTTATATTTTTTATCCTGCCATGCTACTAGGAGCTCTTCTGGGGTGAGCCATCTGAACGATATACCATTCTTAATTAACTGAGATGACAAAAACTGCTAGCCCCTTCTTTCATCCCTAACTCTTCTAAGTATTTGCTTCAATGTTACCACTTCATGATCTTTATATATCAGTGGCTCGCCTCTGGTCTTGCCATATAACATATCTCATATCGCCTTTCTCGCGAATCTGATGTGGATTTCTCGGGGTAGTCTATGTCTTCGGGTGTAATGGGTATATACTCTGTAGACCTCATCGATGTCATTCTCAATTTCTTGTTTGTCTTTCTGTAGAGCTATTGCTATCATATTTGCCATTATTTCACGTAAATCTTCCTTTTTATCTTCAACAACATTCTGAAATCTCAAATAAAATGATGCTTTTTCTAATTCTATATGCACCATGGAGTCCCAAAGTTCACAATATAAGACTTTCAAATTTTGTTTCAATTCCTCTAATCTCTTTTCCACCACCTCAGTTCTGGCCTCTACTGAGTTTAATTTTTGTTCATTTTTTGTCATTGTCTCCTGCATGTTTCCGATTTTGCTATCCAAATTTTGTATCTCGTTCTTCATTCCTCCTATTTCCGTTCACATTTCTAATTTCATGTCTTCGTGATTCCTTGCTATCAGTTCATGGGTTTTTACCATTATTTCCTGCATCATGGCAAGTGTTGACTGTACTGCCTGCAAACTTTGGCTGGAACTTGTCTTTTCTGCCAATAACATTGCGTCAATCGATCTCTGTCCCAGAGGTGAAGATGTCACTGTTGTAGGTTTCTTCCCTGATTTTACATTTGTAGTTATTGTTGCCATTTTAACTATTTGTAAAAGCTCTCTCCAATCCACCATCAACTATCCAAGTAGAGTTATATTGTCTTCTCCTTTAAATACAGTATACGTATTTATACATATATTGTTAAATAAGAGTTTTCTATTATAGATAGTCCCAGACAGTTCTTATTTCTATTTCTTAACTGGTCAAACATTCTAAGGTTTAGAGAGTTAAATATTAATCCAATATATATTTAGTTAATCCACTATAAATACAAGTAAATAGATACCAGTATGCTTAACCAGAAAACACCAAACCTATATAATCACGTAATGTAAATAGTTAAAGCACCCAGCTCATTAATATTTTTAAATATACGATTTTATCTATTTCCTTATGGATATATATTTAATCAAAGTAAGTAAGTCTCATTTCTTTTTTTTTTCCCCTTAGATTTCTTATATAGTACTTTTAAACAAAAATTGATTGGTATAATTTATCAGTAAAACAATAAGATGAAAATAATGATACTATATAATTATTCTTTGACCATCTAATTCATATGCTTATAGAATCACTTTCCAACAGTTATGCAATTAATCCAAAAAGTTCAATCAGTATTAAGCAATATTCTGTAAACAAATTTCTAGTATATTTACCTCTATCAAATTAGTTTTCTACCAACGTCACTTAAATAGGTTTGTATCTTACCAATATCTATTAAATCAGATCCAGAGATACTTTTTTTGTTAATTGTCTTACAACAGCTCTTAATTCAAAATGTCCTCATTCCAAGTTGCACAGTCACTTTTTCCGTTTGTGTATTTTCTTGTTGCTCTTTTGTTCTTTTATTCCCGCACAGTCACAGTTTCAGTTATGAACCTTAAATAAATCTTTCTTATTTTGTTGTCAGGATTGTCTATTAATATTTATCAAATTAAAGTTTCTTTTCCCCAGTCCTTTCTTCCGATCTTTCAATGCGCCAAAAGTTCATTCCCAAGTTTTATACTCATAATTGTCCTTTCGTTTTCCTATACCACTTAATCACTTTCACTTCTTTTTCTTTCTTTCCCCACTTCTCAAATAAACGGACAATAAGGTTCTATAGTTCACTTCTCCACTCGCAAAGCAAATGTTATTATCTCACCCTTTGTCTCCTCAGGTTTCACGGTTCCATTAGTCAGCATAAATCTCTGCCGTTGTTTCCATCAGCGCTCCTGTCAAAAACTCAGCCGCTTCACCACACCACTCACTTCGGAGCTTCCTTTACAGTACACACCAATATTCTGAAAATCTTCTTTAAATACGCCTTTCCAGTGCTCAGCCTGCTGTTTCCCTCTTTTCGCTTCTTTTAATCAGCTGGGCTGCTGCATCTCTGGTTCTGATCATCACGGTTGTCATGATCTCCCTCTTCTGCCGTTGGTTTTCAGGGGGTTCTTCTTCCAGTCTCCAGGATCGTGGCACCTCCCCAAGACCTCCGTGTCTTCCCCTTTCTTTTGCCTAACCCTCTGGGGTCCGGCACGCTCCAAAAAGCCACCAACTAGTGAAAATCGGAATCTTTCAGAGCAGCGATCCACTCCTCAGCTCCGCACCAACACAGCGCCCAACTGGAAGTCCTCCAATTGTTAACAATTCTAAATTGTTTTACAGGATGGATGCAGCTGCTGGAGACACAGTAGCCTTGGCAAATGGGAAGAAGGCTAAAGTCATTGGAAGAGGCAGTGTGCAAATTCCATATTTGGAAACAAAGTTTAATGATTTTTATGCGTGCCAGAAATGGAGCATAATTTGCTGAGTGTCCCTAGTTTAGACAAGCAAGGTTTGAGACCACATTTATAAATGGGCAGTGTCTTATAAAGAAAAATGGAATTGTATGTGCAAAGGGCATAAATATGTTACAGGGACAAAAAGTTCAATGTGCACAAACATTTGGCAACGTGGCAAAACATGGTTCATGTGTTCAACTTTTACACAGAAAGTTTGAGCAAAACAGCTTCCGAATTTTGCAGAAGATGGGCCAATTTACAGAAAGTTTAAATTTAAAAGGATGTAAGGCGTATTTGGATTGTGCAGTATGCAAAACATTAAAGTCCAAGGCATTCCCAGTAAGCAAGAGTAGCACAAGGCAAAGAGCTCTAGAGCTGGTACATGCAGATTTGGTGGGCCCAATGCAAGCCAGTTTGGGAGGAGCTAAGTATGCACTTGTCATTGTGGATGACTGTAACAGGTTTGGGTTCTGCTATTTACTAAAGAGTAAAACAGGTGCTACAGAAATTTAAGCAATGGGTAAGCTTTGTAGAAAGAAGGTATAAACAACAGTTATGTCAGCTGCAAACTGACAAGAGGTTCAGAATTCATGTCAACGAATTTTCAACAGTGGTTGGCACAGTTAGGAATAAAACACAGATGCATAAATCTTTACACTGAGAATGGTGTTGATGAGAGATGGAATGGAGTCTTGCAAACCATGAAGGACTCACTGCTAGTGAATTCTGCTCTAAGCAGGTCATATTGGGGTAAAGTCATATTGACTGCTAATTATTTAGTTAATAGGTTGTGGAGTTCCTCCATTAATAATACTCCATATGCAATGCTATATGGGAGAAAACCATCTCTAGCACATTTAAGGGTGTTTGGAAGCAATGCGTGGGTGCATATTCCAAAAGCAATTAGAAGAAAGGGGCAACCAAAGGCTAGAAAGCTCAGTTTGTGGGCTATGAGCCAGGTACAAAGACTTATTGTTTTAGCAATGGGAGCAAAAGAGTAGTGTTTAAAAGGTCTGCAAGCTTTGCAGAGCAAAATTGGAACAGAATTGATGCAAATTTGTGAAATGAATCACTTAATGACAGCGATCCACTTAGTGACAGTGTCAGTGTTCAGGGAGGAGAAGCTGAACAAGATATGAAGCAAGAGAGGATTGATACACAGGAGCAGTCAATGCCATGCAGGTCAGAGTGATGGAACAAGGGGATTCCACCTGACAGGTATTCTGTTAGTGAAATTAAAGTGTGTAATGTATGATATGAGCCAAGGAACTACAAAGAAGTATTGACATTACCTAAAATTGAACAAGTAATGTGGAAAGAAGCCATGGACAAGGAAATGAAATCCATAGGAGAACATGAAGTATTCACATCTATTACTTTGTCACTGGATAGCAAAACTGTAGGATGCAAGTGAGTATACAAGAAAAAGGTACAGCCCAATAATGAGGTACAATATAAAGCAAGGTTAGTGGTAAAGGGGGTTTCACAAATGAAAAATATGCACTATGATGAGGTATTTGCACCAATTGTAAAGAGTGAGAGCATCAGGCTGGCACTAGCATTGGCAGCGGCACATGGCCATAAAGTTTGGCATTTTTGACATAACCACTGCATTTCTCAATGCAGAATTAGAGGGAAAAAATACATGGTTCAAGCACCAAGGTATGAAAGTAAAAAGCCTAGCACAGTATATAAATTAAACAAGCCATTTATGGGCTGAAGCAGTCAGCCAGGAATTGGAATATCTGTTTAGATACTGCATTGATGGGTCTTGGGTTCAAGAGTTGCAAGGCTGATGGTTGCATATACACTGGAAAGTTAAAAGGTGGGGATCAACGCAATTGCGTTGGATAGGTATAAAAAGGAATTCTCCGATATTTGGAGGGAACTGTGAATGTGGGTCTTCAAATACAGGTATCTGAAGAATAGTAAAGGTAATTGAATTTATGTCTATTCCAGTTATGAAGAGAGGAGTGTCAGAGTATATTCATGAACTGGAATAGACCATGGTAACAAGGTCAGCTGATGAATAGGCATCGCAACTAAGTCAGCCAATGAGGACTGTTTGGAAACTGAAACTAGAAGCAACCTAGGCATGGCTCTATATTAAGCTCTGCAGCTCTGAAGCTCTGTTAAGCTCTGAGTCTGTCTATTGAAAATGTAACTGCTTCTCTCCTCTGCTGTGTGTCTTGCTTGTTTGCTGAACTAAAATGAAACTGATGTCTGTTTCTCTACTGAAGTTGAGTTGCTGTTCTGTTCTGAACCTATAACATGTCTGCTTCTGTTTGAGTTTGCTCCCTGTTGGAGAAATCTACAACTGGTATTGTAAAAAAAAATTATGTTTATAAAGAAGTTAAATGAAGCTTCAGTCATCTGTGTTTATTTTTCTGGTGCTGAATTTATGCTGCAATACTCTGAACAAAATCACATAGATGGAAAATATAAAATGCTTAACAATATAGTGCCAGGTAATGGGCCCCTCAGCTGAGATGGTATTCAGTATGCTACTGTGAAATTGCTGAGGATCTTTCAGAGTACTAATAGTGTTTTTGGCATGGCTAGATTAAAGCCCTTGGGACACTGAGTTGCTCAGGTTACAATACAGAATTACAGTTCAGGGAGTCTTCGCTTGCCAATGGTAACTTAAGTCACCAAGTGCTGGCTGTGCCAATTTACAACTGCAGTTCCAACAGTCCTAATTAGCATGGTTAGAAGATTAGCATTTTTTTTCAAAATGTTGCAGATTAAAAATTACAAAACTTAATGATTGGTATTTTTACATTTTTTAAACGATTACTTACTCTAATGGTGAAAGTCCTTCCCCCAACTCTGTCACGAGCTTCTAAAACCACCACACTAAGTCCAGATTCAAACAACAATTTAGCTGCTGACATGCCTAAAACAAAGATGAATTCATTTTAATTGTTATTTGTTTTACTGTCAAGAATATCACCTGAAATATTTCTTAGCAGATAAGCAGTACTTTCAAATGTAATATATCACTAATGTCCAATCTGTGGTAAGCTGAATACATAACAGTGTTTTCCTTATATATTTCATTTTTTTAATCTTTTCAACAGAAATATTTTTACTCTGTTTTTAAAGACAGGTAGTCCTTGTATAGTTACTGGAACTGGCAAATTAATTGTTAAGCAAAACAATTGCTAAGTGAAAGATTACAGTTTTACAATTTTACTTCAGTTTTCCTACGCTTTACAGATTTGCAAAGATCATAAATGCAAGGTCTGTTCACAAGCTTGTTTTTTCATCTTGGTCATAACTGAATGGTCACTAAATGTATCAGTCGATGCCTGTTCAGTGCATTAAATCTGCATACATGTGAACATTTTATTAAAGTATGCATTTATTTAATCAGTTTATCTACTCTCGGCAATTTTCAGGCATTAAAATAGCAATAAATATATTTTAGTTTAACAACAAAATATTGATAACCAATATCAAATTATTATATTATATATATTATATATATTATATATACACAGAGAGAGAGAGAGAAAGAGAGAGAGAGAGAGAGAGAGAGAGAGAGAGAGAGAGAGAGGTTGGGCGTTGGTCTTACCTGACACGCCATTTCTAGTCGAGCTGCGAGGATCATCCAGAGAGTGGGAGGTGCTCCAGTCTGCATCTGTGTAGGCTGAGCTTAATTATTAGGGAACGCTCCGCCCTCTGTCACGTGGTCCCTTGTAGCTTCCCAGTTTATGCGAAGTCGAGAGAGGAGGAAAGTCGTCTCTCATCTAACTAGACCTAAAGTATCATTGGCTGAAACAAGGTTCCCCCGATGGAAAAATTAAAAAGGGTGGGGCTGGATGATCCATGCAGCTCGACTAGAAATGGCGTGTCAGGTAAGACCAACGCCCATTCTCCCTCGAGCTGCTCGGATCATCCAGAGAGTGGGACATACCAAAGCTTGGCTGTCCTACGGGAGGGAATCCGTCTGGGGTGGAAGCTCCCCTGGGTCCTCGATGACCCACTGGAGGACTCGTCTACCAAACGAGGCCTCAGCTGACGCAAAGATGTCAATCTTATAGTGCCTAATGAAAGGGGAGGGGGAAGCCCAGGTGGCGGCCCGACAGATGTCTGAGATTGGAGCCTGGGTGGCCCAGGCCGCAGAGGTGGCCGCACTCCTGGTGGAATGCGCCGTAACCCCACTGGGAACTGGCAAGGCCTGAGACGAATAAGCCTTGGCGATGGTGGCTCTGATCCATCGCCCGATGGTGGAAGGGGACACCTTGTGGCCTAAGGACTTGGGCTGGAAGGAGAGAAATAAAGACTCTGACCTTCTAAAGGGTTGTGTGCGGTTAATGTATATGCGGAGGGCCCACCTGACATCTAGGGTGTGCCATCGTTTCTCCCTTTCCCGCGAAGGATTGGGACAAAAGTTCGGGAGTGTAAGCTCCTGAGCCCTGTGGAAGGCTGAATTGACCTTGGGCAAGAAGGTCGGGTCGGGGCGTAGAACCACCCGATCGGAATGGAAGATACAGAGGTCCTTTCTCACCGAAAGGGCAGCAATCTCCGAAATTCGGCGAGCCGAGGTAATTGCCACCAGGAATACTACCCTAAAGGTCAAAATTTGGAGAGAGGATTCTCTAATGGGTTCGAAAGGAGGTTTGGTGAGGGCCACCAGGACCTTGTTAAGGTCCCAAGTGGGGTACCGGTGCACAACAGGGGGACGGAGGTTAGTAGCCCCCCTTAGGAAGACCCTGATATGGGGATGGTGAGAGAGGGGACCCAGATTGTCGCCAGAGACAACAGTTGAGAGGGCCGCTACCTGGCGTCTCAGGGTATTAGGTGAGAGACCTTTTTTGAGCCCATCCTGGAGAAAATTCAGAATCTGGGCCACTGAAGGCAAGAGCGGGTTGACCATTGATGAATGGCACCACCTGCAGAAGCTGACCCAGGTGGCATCGTATGTCCGATTGGTTGAAGGCCGTCTGGCGGCCAGGATCGTGTTAATGACCTGGTCAGATAAATTCTCCTTCCTCAACTTTTCCCGCTCAACCTCCACACGGTTAGTTGGAGCCATTGGGGCTCCGGATGTTGAATGGACCCCTGAGACAGGGAGATCCTGTCCGGAGGGATTCTCCACGGGGGAGACACCGAGAGGTTGCGGAGGTCTGCAAACCACGGTCGCCTGGGCCAATAGGGGGCCACTAAAATCAGATCTGCCTTCTCCTGGATCAGTTTCTGAATGACCCTGGGAAGCAAAGCTAACGGGGGGAAGGCGTACAGGAGTCCGGGGGGCCACGGACAGCGAAGTGCGTCGTGATTCTCGGCCCCGGGGGAAGGGAATCTGGAGAAGAACCGAGGGAGCTGGGTGTTGTGGGGGGATGCAAAGAGGTCCACTAACGGGAGACCGAAGATCATGGTCGCTTCCCTGAAAAGGGATGGATGAATGCGCCACTCGGACTGGTCCACGGTGGCCCTGCTTAACCAGTCCACTCGGGTGTTTGAGGCCCCCGAAATGTGTTCTGCTTTGATCGAGAGGAGGTGATGCTCTGCCCAACGGCAGAGTCTCTCGGCCTCTCTCATCAACCGAATAGACTGGGTCCCGCCTTGCCTGTTGACATGGGCCTTGGTGGTAACGTTGTCCGTGAGAATAAGGACGTGCTGCCTGCGTACCTGAGGCAGGAAGTGGCGCAGGGCCAGGTGGATGGCGTGGAGCTCCAGCCAGTTTATGCTGCAGGCCCGCTCTGCATGGGACCATTTGCCCTGTGTTGTAAGGGACTGGATGTGAGCGCCCCAACCGCTCAGGCTGGCATCTGTGGTGATGACGAGACGCTGGGGATCTTTGAAGAGATGACCCCTGTTGATGGCAGGGTTGGTCCACCAGAGGAGAGACAAGAGGACCTTTGGAGGTACCTTGATGGAAGATTTTGAATTGCTTCTGCCGGACCTTTGAAACGGAAGCAGGAGCCACTGCAGGGACCTGGTATGAAGACGGGCCCAAGGAATAATAGAGATGCATGAAACCATTTTTCCCAGTAATTTAGATAAATCTAACAGAGAAGCCCTCTTTGATCGGCGAATAACCTGAATTGAATTTCGAATACTCCTGAGCCTTTCTGGGGAAAGGAACACTTTTTCCTGCACCGTGTCAATGATGGCCCCCAAGTGGGCAATTCGGGTAGAAGGGACCAGTTGGCTCTTTTTTTGGTTGACCAGGAAACCATGGGCGTGGAGGGCGGAGAGCTCTGTCTTGGTGTCCAGCTCTGCTTGGGATTGTGAATGGGACAGGATGAGGATATCATCCAGATAGCAGTGGAGACGGACCGGGCAGTCCCTTAAGCGAGCTGCCAGGGCCACGAGGATCTTAGTGAAAACTCTGGGAGCAGAGGCTAACCCAAAGGGAAGGGCCACATACTGAAAATGGTGGTGATTGTAGCAGAATCTAAGGAATTTAGAGTGTGAAGGCCGAATTGGGATGTGGAGGTATGCCTCAGAGAGGTCTATAGAAGATAGCCAATCTCCTTGCCTGGTACCCTGCAAAATGGATTGGAGGGTGTGCATTTTGAATTTGCAGGGGGTTAGGAAGCGGTTGAGCTGTTTGAGGTCCAGGATAGCCCTCCATCCCCCCGAGGACTTGGGAACCATGAAGAGGTGGGAATAGAAACCCTGCCCTCGCTGAGAGGGGGGGAACTGGCTGGATGGCCTGGATGGAGAGTAAGTGATGGATGGTCGCATCCATTAATTTGTGTTTGGAGGGGTCCCTAGAGGGGGGAGATGACATGAAGAACTCGGGAGGTTGAGAGTTGAACTCCAGAGCGAGTCCAAACCTGATGGAGTCCCTGACCCATTTGTTGGAAGTGGTAGAATCCCACAGGTCAGCGAAATGCCTCAGCCGACCACCAATGGGGGGAAAAAGACAGGATTCATTTGGAGCGTCGGAAGGGTCTCCCCCCGGAACCCCTGAAGGGACGCTTAAATCCTCCGCCCCTCCTATTTCGATCGCTCGGGTCGGAACGATCCTGGGAATATGATGCTCTATACAAGGGAGGTCTTGGGTACCTGGGGGGGAAGGGGGACTGGTAGAAGGACCGGGAGGATCCTCTTCGAAAGGGCTGAGGGGCTCGGGAGTCAGGCCTCCGAAAAAGTGGAGGAAGGAATTTCTTCTTTCCCCTAGTTTCGGCCAAGAGAGGGTCCAGGGCCAGCCCAAAGAGCTTCTCCCCTTTAATGGGGGCGGAGGCCAGCTTGACCTTGTTCTTCATGTCCGCCTGCCATGGTTTGAGCCAGAGCAGGCGGCGGGCAGTGACCTGGGACGCTAACGCCCGGGAGGCGAATTTAACCAAATGGTACGTGGCGTCAGCTGAGAACTCTGCCGCCGCTGTGATTTTGGCTATGTCCTGCAGCGCCCATGTATTGGATGGAGGGATGTGGGCCTTCAGTTGACGGAGCCACCGGATAGAGGACCTGGTAAAGAAGGAGGCTGCGGTGGCCGATCTAATTGCCCAGGCATCGGCTAGATGAGCCCGACGCAAGGCCAATTCAGACCTCCTATCCTCGGGTTTGAGGGCCTCCAGGGGGTCACTCGGGGAGGAGGAAGAGGCTAGACCAACAATGGGCTCGTCCACCTCCGGGGTATTGAGGAGGGAGCAGAAACCCGGTTCGAGGTTAAAGAACCTCTTATCCTGTGTGGATGGGGCCGGAGGAGCCCCCGTAAAACCCAGTTGGTTGGAAACCAGATCGTGGAAAATGGGAGGAGCAGGAATCACATCCTCGGCCACCACGGGCTGCTTGAACATTGCGTCCTCTGGTTCCTCCCCAGAGGAGTGGGGGACAGGGGGAAGTTGAGTGGCCAGGCCCAAGGTGTTCTTGGCCTTGAACAAGATGGACTTAAACATGTGGGGCTTGAATAACCCCACAAAGGAAGGCTGGTCGGGG